TAATCATTCTTCAATCATTCAAAGACCTGCATTCCATCCATCTCCTCGTTATCATTAAGAATAAAAAGTCTTCAGCCCAAACTTATCTTCTGAACTTCTCTATCAAACGATTATTCAATTAAGATGACAGGTGGCTGTAGGTAATTTGATCAGGTTCGTTATGTAATTGGTTTTACGAGATACTTAGCTGATTGGAGGGGCTTTGCTTTACGACAACATAACAACAACATCTACGAGCTATTTGATTACCCCCACGTTGAACATTTTATAACCAACAATTTGCAAAGCATTTAATATATTGAACGTTCAGTTATTTAAAATTCTCTTCAATTAAAAAGGCATATATTGAATCAAAAAATCGTTTATTTTACTAATATTTCAGTTGGCTGAACGCCAACCTTTATCAAGGTATTATAACATATTAATGTGTGTCAACAACAAACTCAGCGCTCACACATTAAATATGTTATAACACCTTGATAAAGGTTGGCGTTCAGCCAACTGATATATTGGTAATATAAATGATATTTTGATCCAATATATGCCTTTTTAATTAATGATTAAGTATTAAATAAATATTCTATACGATTTTTTATTATATCTTCTACTGAATATACAGACCATAATAGTTATCGCCCACGCAACCTATTTGCTTTCGAATAAAATTAATAAACTATTGTATCAATGCATAAGTTTCAAAATTCAAAGGCTTAACTATTATACCAACTCAGCCTTTGCCGGTCCCAAGCCGGATGAAAAAGGAGGAGGGTAGCAGTAACAAGCTCAATAATAAACCTGGGTTCAACTGGCCCGGCTAATAGTACCCTGTATGGGCTCCAGGGATACAGGATGAGCAGTGTTTGTACTTCATGTTGGGAGCGGCTGCACATGGCGTCTGTTCCTCATGTCAGAGGCGGCCATTTCTTTTGGAGCTAAGTCGGCCTGCCACTGAGTAGTGCTTCAAGTCTTAATGACAAAGGCAGACACATTCTACTTCACCCAGTCATGATGGTTGTCAAACAGACACCATCAAGGGTCACAACTTGATACCCTAATATGATTGAGTGGAGATAAGAAAGAAGAAGAAGATAATATATTACTAAGTTATAGATTACCAATATGGAGTTCGAAGCTTTCAATTACATTCTCTATTCAATGAATATATATATGTCCGGCGTGATTCTGACATACACGCACGGCTCACTTGACGTTGCCATCGAAACAATGGTGTCAACATAGCTGAATGACAGCCTTTATTCTAAATGTTTCCTTTTTATATATAAATAATTAATAGATAGTAATCTACTTATATGTCGTTAAAATAATTAATAGGTTGAATATTATATGTAGCAGGGAGTCACGTCAATGATTTTGTATTTTTAAAACATTAAGGACTGAATTCTTTTTTTAAAATATATTATTATCTCATATATATATGTTATATTAAAATATTATTTTATTTAAAATTATATTCATAGATTCAAATATTCTGTTTATATCTACCACCAGATGTCGGGACGTTCCCTATATATAACCGATTGTTCTTGTTTCCCGATGGCAACTGGGCTCAAAAATCATAACTTTTGGTTAGTAGCCCGTAAAACCATATTTTCTCTTCCCGATGGCTGGCCCAACCTTTTGTACATTATGTAAATAAGTTTTTAATTTTTTATTCTTACCCCTTAAGCCAGGCAATACCTTTGTCAATTTATGTTCTTATAAATTACTTTAGCTCAATTAAAACAATCTCTGATCAAAACTATTTTTTTATTATACTTTCAACATTTTAACCACGACTGCATTACCATAATCCTCAACATGATCTAAATTCAAGCAGAAAATCTCTTTTATTTATATAATATATATTTGAAAATAGAGTAATCCATAAATAAATATTTAAATAAAAAGACAAATATTGGATCAAAATATCATTTATTTTACCTATATTCCAGTTGGCTGAACGCCAACCTTTCAGCCAACTGATATATTGGTAAAATAAATAATATTTTGATCCAATATATGCATTTTTAATTAAAAATGTATTCATGGATTGCTCTATTTTCAATATATATATATTAATTAAAAGGCATATATTTTGGATCTAAAATAAATCAAAACATTTTATTAAATACCAAATGCCAATATTTATATATATATATTGAATATAGAGAATTCTATAATATCTATAGGAGAAATAAAAACTCTTACTAAATCCAAAATAAGCTTGATAAAAACTACATAAAATTATATACACACTAGCAGTCTCACGTCTATCAGCGGACTAACCTATCCAAGGACCTAACTAACCAATCTAACAAAGCTACGACATATATATATAGGCAGATATGCAATTTATAAAATAGACAGAATTATAACAATATGCAAATTATAACAGAATTACAAGGTTGTCCCAGAAGTTCGTAAACACTCATTATATAAGATGTTTGCAAACTTTTGAGAAACTTTATACATTGTTGAAATATCCCGAAATTGCCACTTTTAACAAAAGTAAACTCTTTAATATTAAAATAAATTACTTTGATTTCTATTCAAATGTATAAATTAATTACACTATAGAGATATTTACTTGGAAAACGTTCATTTATTTTTCATTAAAATTTAAAGCGCTATGTCTCCCTAGAGACACTTGCACTGTCATACATGTATGTCTTTACATTTGTCTATATACGCATATTAAAATAGAAAAGGCATATACTGACCAGGAGCACATGTGCTTTACAGAAGGCAGAGCGCCATCTAGTGGAACAGAAATCAACTAACATTGATTTATCCTGTTCCCTGATATTTGGTCAACCCAATTTTTTTATTAATCAAGAAAAGCCATCTACGAACCTGTTTCGCGCTTTTGGCGCTCGCCAGCGTGGAGTGATCCTGGCCAAGATATGCCATTTTTATTTCAATATCAACACCTGACCTTTTTATTTTTGTTTTTGTCTATATTTTTTCATACATATATGTTATAAAAAAAGGATTCTGTGCTTGATCATGTCCTCCTGGCCTTTTTTGGATACATGAGTATCATTATATTGTTCTGCAGTCGTGGCATTAATAAAAAAGTTTTTATCAGTGATTTCTTCAATTGAGCTTATAGGATATATAAAAAACATAACATAAAAGTAACGCCTGTCTTAAGGCGAGTAGAACAAGGAAAACAGAATATTATTCACATAATGTACAAAAGATTTGAGCCGGCAATCGGGAAACAACAACAACGAGTTTTTATACGGTAAGCGTGACCTCTGGCGGTCGATTTAGCAGAATATTTGAATCTATGAAATATAATTTTTAATAAAATATTATTTTTATATAACATATATATGTACACAATAATTTTAAGACGTAAAGAGAATAGTCATATGATATTAACAAGGAGAAAGAGAAAAAAACGAAAACAGAAAACTGTGTACAAAAGAAAGAAATGCCTCATGAATCTGAATGAATTTATATAATACATATTAGGTTAAATTTTTCCTTTAAAATATTGGAGCCCTCTTTAAAGAATTTCCAACAATTGACATAATGAGCTAATTGTTAATAAATCCTATTATATTCGTGCTATATTTACAAATATCTGTGAAAAGAAACAAATGCAATTACATTTTCAATAATTAAATCCAATTTACATTTTTATTTGAAGAAAATCCACTTTATTTTAATTGAATACAATGGTCGTATGTACAATTTATTTTAGAATTCTTTAAATTCTGGAAATCTTTTATCTCTAGAAAATAAATTTTATATATGTAACAAATGAATTTACTGGTAATGTATTTATTTTAAATAATATCATCAAATATTATATATCTCTACATACCTTACTACAATGATATAAGTTATTGAATGAGAGGGATTGGCTCATCAGTAGTGAACCTTCTCTGCGGCTTCGCTAAATTAATCTCTAGACCGCTCTACTATTGTAATGGATTCGGTTCAAAATCACTTTATTAGGTACCGCTCAACAAGAGCAACCTATTTTATGATAATTGAAACAATGATAATATGTGAAGGTTATTCGCATATTAAACAAAATGTTAACGTGGGATTCAATCCCGGTTCATGACTGTCGGGAATCGAGGGTATTACCCACTCGTCCACCCTTCTTGTATTGGATTGGTTTTGAGATATACCCTGTATTTTCTATGGAAGACAGCTTAGGGGTGTTTAGTGAACTCTGGACATAATCTTATAGGTCTGTAGAGGTACATACATATAATTTCAAAGTATTGCATCGAGCAATGCTCTTCCTCAAAAATGGTTTCATAACAAATATATATTAATTATATATTGGCCAATTCTGGAATGATTAAAAATCAACGAGAATAGTTGATATTTATTCCGATAGATGACGCAAGCCATCAGCAACTTTCAGTTGCACGATAAAGAGATACCTTTTTTTATAATATATGCACCTAATCCCAGTACAATATCACATTTATACTATTTTTTTCACATTGTGTCGCGGTCTCACGCAATTCTGGCCTTAACTACCCGTTTCATGATTTTTGCAGGATGCCTGAATGACCAGTCAAGCCATCAGCAACTTCCAGTTGCACGATAAGGAGATGCCTTTTTTATATAAATTCATATCAGTAAATTGCATTTTATAAATTCAATTGCACCTATCGCTGAAATTTGTAGCGAATTTTAAATTCATAAGTTTAATATAACTTAAGTTTACATTTGCTTTTCATAAAAAGGTAAGATATTTTGATTAACTATATATGTATATATATATATGTATTAAATAATACATACGTGTGAATTTATACTACGAGTATGATCAGGTTTATAAATTAAAAGATAAGGCATATCTTTCTTAATTTATATGTAATGTTTTGTAATAATAATATTTTTCAATGTAAAGATAGAGGCTGCCTGGCCGGCATTCATATTTATATGAAAAACAGACACTTCGGCCAGTTAGAGTTTTTTATTTTCTCAACGTTTCGACAAAAATCTTTTGTCTTCGTCAGGAGAAGTGAATAAACTGGCCGAAGTGTCTATTTTTCATATAAATTTTTAATGTGTTTATTTTCATATATATTATCAAATATTATCTCTACAAATCTCACTAAAATGTTAAATATTATGATTAAGAGGGCTTGAATCATCAGTGGTGAATCCTCTCAGCCATTTCTCCAAAATTAATCTCAAGATCGCTCTACATTTGTATTGGATTGGATTCACCACTGATGAGCTAAACCTTCTCATTCAATAACTTTTATCATTGTAGTAAAATCTGTAGATAAAATATTTAATTATATATGCCAAAAGAAACACATTTATTGGATCGTTTTTTTTTTGAGACAACTCTCAGATTTATAAAATTAATTTATTAAACTACAAACATTTTTAGATATAGAGAGAGAAACGAACCTCGTATTTAAGGCAACAAAAGAATCATCTAATTTGCATACATCGTTCTAACCAGATTCAACTTGTGCAAAACAGACGACAAAGAAAAATAAACAAACTAATAATAGAGGGTAAGTTCCTATTTTACAAGCTTTCTCACACTCAAAGAATAATAATTTTCTTGCTTTAAAATTGCCAAAATATTATAATTACAAATTTTAGCGATAGATGTGGCAAGTGAATTTATAAATATAGATATATTGTATTATTGATATTTTGTATCTATAAATACTTCGTTTTCTTTCGTATATTCTACACTTTATAAAATCCTAGAATTATAAATTTTTGATACTGTGTTAGTATTTTAACAAATATAAATTATATATTTAGATACTATATATATTTTCAAAAGAGTTAAACAGAAATATATTTGGGCGAAAAATTGAAAACGCTTTTTTCTTTATATACAATCATTGGCAAATCGTCGGTTGTATTTTTATTTATCTTTTGAGGAGACAGAGGCAATTTTGTTCGAACTTGGTCATTTCGTGTGTCTTCAATAAATCTCACTGTAATATCTTTCAGAAATTTTGTCTGAATATCGAAATATATGATAAAATGCACAATTTTCTTAAGTTTTGTCCATGAGTATACTCTATTGATAAACAATAATTTATTGTATTTATATATATAAATGAATTTTATTCTTATGAAAGATTTTTCAATAAAAAGATAAACGTAGTATATCAATAAATTGAAGGGATGATACTCAGGGATACTTAGGTTCATAACTGAATTTTTTAATGGTGTTTTACTCAAAATATAAAACTAAATTTTTAAAATTACAATTAGTCACTCTCAGTTTTCTACACACAACTCACAGTGACAATATATCATCAAAGAATGATATAATAAATAATAAAATGAAAGAGTTCCTGCAATAAATATTGACTCCAATCTATCTATCTATTGAGAATGAATATTGATTTACCATATATTGATTTTCAATGATTATCTTTATTCATAGTTTCCCTTTGCACCGACTGTTCTGATAATACTAGAATATATTATAGGTTTGGTATATATTCCATGAGATCATGTTTAGATTCATAATTGAATCCTAGATGTGCGAGTTTAGTATTTAAAGAAAGAAATGTGTCCAGAGTGTTGAGGAATACACACAGGAAGTTGTACCTTACAGAATGTATATCGGGATTCATACAATACCTCTGAAGGATACACTCATTAACAAAACTTGAGGAAGTTGTACCTTTTAGCATGTATATCGGGATTCAGACAATAACTCTGAAAGATACACTCATGGACAAAACTTAAGGAAGTTGTACCTTTTAACAGGTATATCGGGATTCAGACAATAACTCTGAAATATACACTCATTGACAAAACTTAAGGATGTTGTACCTTTTAGCATGTATATCGGGATTCAGACAATAACTCTGAAAGATACACTCATGGACAAAACTTAAGGAAGTTGTACCTTTTAACAGGTATATCGGGATTCAGACAATAACTCTGAAATATACACTCATGGACAAAACTTAAGGAAGTTGTACCTTTTAACAGGTATATCGGGATTCAGACAATAACTCTGAAATATACACTCATGGACAAAACTTAAGGAAATTGTACCTTTTACCATGTATATCGGGATTCAGATAATAACTCTGAAAGATACACTCATGGACAAAACTTAAGGAAGTTGTATATTTCAGCATGTATATCAGGATTCAGACAATAACTCTGAAAGATACACTCATGGACAAAACTTAAGGAAGTTGTATCTTTCAGCATGTATATCAGGATTCAGACAATAACTCTGAAAGATACACTGATGGACAAAACTTAAAGAAGTTGTACCTTTCAGCATGTATATCGAGATTCAGACAATAACTCTGAAAGATACACTGATGGACAAAACTTAAAGAAGTTGTACCTTTCAGCATGTATATCGAGATTCAGACAATAACTCTGAAAGATACCCTCATGGGGACAAAACTTAAAGAAGTTGTAACTTTCAGCTTGTATATCGGGATATTTGAAACACAGTGACCTTTATTGAGCACACACGAGAAAACTAAGTGTGAACAAATTTTCTTCTGTCTCCTTCAAAAACATAGACGACCACGATATAAAAGTCTCTACCTCTGCTCAGCAGGCCAATCACGGCGTGGACACTAGGAACGATGTACGCATGTTTTTTGTCCAAGAGACTCATGGGAAAAAGGCCAAAGCGGGTGAAGATTGTGCGCTCGGCGGAGCTGAACCTGACCTGCCAAGCTGCCAACGCCCGCTTGTAGATTGTCGATTTAAGTTTCGACAGAATAGAAATTCGGCAAAAGCCAGGAATGATATAGGCAACAAAAGCCCTTGCATCCCCTGTTTTTCGCTGAAAAACCACGTCACACAGCCAGAAGGAATGATGCATTCTCCATGCACCGAGCGGCCTTTGGTAGGCCCCTCGCGCCCGCCAGTATGGTCCGGCTACAATGGGGTTGACCACTCACCCACAGGCGTCTCCGAGAGTTCATTGGCAAGGTTGCTGACCGAGCCCTCTCGTTCGGACTTAGAGCCATCCGTCCTACGCTCCAATAGGACTCCCCCCCCTTTAGCCCTCGAACCCTTAACCAGTACTCCCTGAATCTGCCGTCGAATCAAGGACCTCTGAGGAACTGAGGTTTACGCGGGGAACGCCGTGAACGCGGGGGGGTGGTACTACTGTGTGCACCCCTTGGTTTCTCATGGTGCGCACGACAAGGACGCTCCCAATGACGCACACACAGAGCGAAGACCCAAGAGTTTCAAGTCACGTGCGCCTCGCCTCAGACAACCAAGGACAGACGGCCAGCTTACAGCTTCACTGGACATCAGTCAGTGGCACCCCGACGGAGGACACACGCAGAGACGCCTCTCAACTCACTCCCCTCTAGAGTGATTGTAGAGGGCGGGAAAAACTCCTTCCCCGCTTAAGTTTCGACAGCGGTGCGAGGCGATGGCAGCTCGGGAGATCATATTCCGCCCCGCGTTTCGCGAGCACATCAGCTACCTCATTACCATAAATCCCGCTGTGGCCTTTGATCCATTGTATGGTACATCTGTTCCCATTGCGGTTCAGTTGTGAAATCAGCAACAAGGCTCTGTTGACCAGGAGGTTGCCAGTTCTGGAGTTTAGAACGGATTTCACAACTGAGAGGTTATCCAGGAGAATTTCAATGGTGTAATTGTCGGGAAGCTTTGAGGCGTCCTCAAGTGCTTTAAGCAAGCCAAGTGCCTCCGCTTGGAAGACAGTACAGTACGGGGACAGGACAAAGCTTCAACGCAGTTCATTCATGGAGCCATTCGCACACACTCTATATAGGCCTGTGCCAACTCCAGTTTTCGTCTTGGAACCATCTGTGTAGTAGATGACGTCAGCAGAAAGATCAGGAATATTAATGGGAGCGGAGTAATAGGGAGGATAGGGAGGTGGGTGAGGGCAGGGGGGAGGCTCGACTGGAAAATCAGCGTCAACAAAACTGTGCTTTTTAAAATACAATTCCGCCTTGGCGCCGACATCCAGATCGAGAGGGAGAACACGTGAAAGAGAGATGAGAGAGCTATTGGCAGTTGTTTTAAAGGCGCGGCATGTCCCGATGAGGAACGGGCGCTGCGCGCTTAAAAGAGTGTTTAAGGAGCGTTGTTTAAGATTAGAAAACCACACAGGAGAAGCGTAAGAGATGGCTGGGACCACGACCTGTAGATAGAGCATCCTCAGGGCACGGAAACCAAAGCCAAAATTGGAGTTGGCGGCTGCTGTCAAACGCGGGAGAAATCCGCGGACTCTTGTGCAAACCTCAACCACATGCTGGTGGAAGGTGAGACGCTGATCAAACCTTACTCCCAGCACTTTGATTGAGTCGCTCCATTGAATGGGTTGACCATTAATGGTTAGATCGCAGCTAGGCTTTAGTAGTCTGCCAGTACGTCTTAGAAGGAGCATGGCCTGACACTTCCTCACGCTGAGTTCCAGTTTATGCAGGCCACACCACCTCGTGATCTCGTTAATGGCAAGTTGCGCCGCTCCAAGTTGATTAGTAACTTGGCCCGCCACCACCATGACAAGATCGTCGGCGTAGGCCTGCGGGTGTACACATTTTTTAAAGTTGAGCGTGAGGAGCTCGTCAAAGACAAGGTTCCAAAGAAACGGCCCAAGAACTGAGCCCTGCGGGCAGCCTTTGGAAACCTGCCTCGTGACCGTGCAACCATTCATAGACAGTCTGACAACACGGTTATTGAGGAAGGAGCGAATCAGGACAAACAGGTTTTTTGGACAATCATTCATACACAGAGCTCGCAATATGCTGGAGTGTAGCACATTGTCAAAAGCGCCTTTCACATCAAAGGAAAGAAGAACAGAAGATTTTCTATGCTGAAGCGGCCGGGAGAGATTATTTTTTAAATTTAGAAGTGTGGCGACAGTAGATTTGCAGGGCCTGAAACCGAACTGGTTTGGTTGGGCTTTACACATTCTCTCAGCTCGCCACGAGAGCCTGGCCAGGATTAGACGCTCTAGAATTTTACCTAAGCCAGGCAGCATCGTGATGGGCCGATGAGACGCGAGAAAGTCCTCATTACCTTTTTGGGGAATGAGTATGACATCACCCAGTTTCCAAGGGGTTGGAAAATGTCCAGTTTCACACACACACAAAGCACCTATTGAAGATCTTTAAAAAGAACGTCGGGAATTTTTTAATTAATTTAACAATGACAAGAGGTGGCATACCATCACTGCCAGGAGCAGAAGTTAGGCTAACCTTATCCGCAGCCAGAAGCAGTTCTATTTCTGAGAACGGTGGGTCGTTATTAGAGGTGGACTGCACGGCTTTATGTAAGTTAACATGCTCTACTGTTGTATCGGGCGGGACGCGGCCGAAGTAGTGCATTAAAACGTGTTCTAGAGTGTCCCGCGGACTGTCAGTGAGATCGTCGCCAACCAGGAGAGAGGAAAGAGGCTTCCTCTTGGTGGAGCCTTTTATAAATTTATAAACGCCGCCCCAGGGGCTAACCTCACAAAGCGAACAGATCCTTCTCCATTCAGCAGACTTCCCGTGTCTGATAGAGGTGCGAAATCTATTATATAATTTCTTATAAAATATTTTCAACACGCTTCTAACAGGCCCACGAGCTTTTCTCCAGGCCCGTTCAGCTTTTTGAGTAACCTTTTGGAGCGGATTTAGTTCAGGTTTCCACCAAGTGGGTTTCTTAAAAAAAAATTATTGGCGGCAGGTTTAGAGGGAATGGTTTGTAGACACGAGTGAAACACCTCGTCTTTTAGTAAATTAATTACTTAATCGACTTGAGTTGTGTCACTTGCGTCCAGTAAGGATGAAATTCTAAAAAAAAAATTTTTTTAGAGCTAGAAAAAAAAAATTCCCAGGCGAACCAAAGCTGAAGTGTACTTCGCTAAAAGTATCTCGACTTATTTAGGCATACAATTTTAGTCAAATGGTATTCTAGCAAAAAATAAATATAACAAATTGTTTACAATAAAATATAAAATAATTTAATAAAGAATAACTAAATATTTACATTTACAAAATGTAACTTTTATAACACACAAAGTTTAACACAGCGCCATCTAGGTGTGGCAATTGGAATTATTTAACCCTACAGTAGTGAGCGCAATAGAAAATTGTTTTTTACTAGAATATATAAAATAAATCGTCAAATATAGTTTTGATTTCTTATAATTAACAACTCTTTGACCCCAATTGAGAGAAACAATAAAAGAAATATTATTAAATAAATAAAGCTTCCAGGGTTAAGTTTCTTGTACAACCTTTTATTTCAAGCTTTCGGATTTGTCAGTCGTTCAACAGGATTTTCACTTAAAAATTTAGTAATAAATACAATTTATATATACAAGTATCAGAGTCATCAACAATCAATTCTGTCATCGTTTGCTTTTGTGAATGGAATGGCCATTTCTTATAAGCATCGGTGGTTCAGTGGTAGAATGCTCGCCTGCCACGCGGGCGGCACGGGTTCGATTCCCGGCCGATGCATTTTTTTTTAAATAATTTTTAAAACTCATTTATATTATTATATTATATATAAAAGTCAATGTCTGTTGTCTGTTTCGCGATAAACTCAAAAACTACTGAACCAATTGGTACCAAATTTTGCATGTCGCTTTTTATAAACCCGTATTGCTATTCTATGACACTTCACCATTTATTATTGATGTTATTTCAGTATGAAGGAAATTGCATTCAGGGGGAATTCTCGGGCGAAGCCGGGTCATTCGTCTAGTTTTTATATACACGTTATTATATACATATTTTAAATACCTACTATATAATGAGAGAAAATTATGCTACATTATTTCTGTTTGATAATCAAAATATTTTGAAAATATACGTGCGTGGTGGATGGATGATACGTGCTGGTTGAATGATATCTCGAGACTTCAAATTAATAGAACTATATACTGAGTATACCAATCAATCAAAATGAATATAGGTATATTAATATAATTAAGTTTTATATTCTATTATATATTATATTGTCTCAATTATTATATATATAAAAGTGTAAATATCAAAATGGCATATCCTGACCAGGAGCACATGTGCTTTACAGAAGGCAGAGCGCCATCTAGTGAAACAGAAATCAACTAAACATCGGTTTAACCTGTTCCCTGATATTTTGCCAACCCAATTTATTGATAAATCAAGTAAAGCCACCCACGAACACGTTTCGCGCTGTTGGCGCTCGTTAGAGTGGAGTAGGGTGTAAAACTGCGACCAACAATAATTTTGGTCCCAGTGGCTTCTTGAAAAATTAAGAAATGGGTATTTAAGGCCAAACTTGCGTAATATAATAATAATAATATGATTAATAATAATTTTTTCTATTGTTTTTTTCATATAAATGTGTGTAAATACATTATATTTAATACAAGTATTCAAATAGATAGATTGTAAGAGGAATCAAATAAAGGAAGTATCCCAAGAATGTCAGAGATCTGCCTGGCGACCTATTCCCATCCCTTATTACCTGGAACTAAATAAATGGAGAAATCTTTTCACCAAACTTAAACAAAATATTTGCAGATAAAGGTTGTAGAGTGTAAATGAATTTTTAAATAAAAGCTTAGAACGGACATTAGAAATCAGAAAAATTGATTAGAAAATAATAGAAGAATCGTGATTTAATGTTTACTTTTACTTCGTATAGATGGCGCGGTATTTACCCTATAATACTTATATAACACAGGTCTACAAAAAAAAACTTTTTTTACCGGAGAAAACCTGATGTTTATACTAATGAACTTTCCATGCTGAATTCAAAAATGAAATCCAAAGTTTTCCATCACCCATAGTTCTTGTAGAATAACTATTTTTTCTATAAATTGGTATATACAGTAATAATGCAGAAAATGTTACGTAAGCATTTTTTAAGTAAACATCATTACATTAGCTAGAGCTTCATTTTTGACAAGAAGAGTTGATATGTGGAGTCAAAAGCTTTATTTTATTTGTTATTAATTAAATTTTGCTCTTTAAGAATCATAAATATTAATTTAAATAACAAATTTATGAATTTTTATATTATTACGGTTTGGATAAATTTTAAGACTTTTAAACGCATGTAAGGCTGGCTAATATGCTATATTTATTTCGAAATATTTTTACTTCTTATTTATTTATTTATTTCAATTCAAAACGCTATGTCCCCCTAGGGACACTTGCGCTAAATGTACATACAAATATAACAAAGAAAATATTCAACATGGAAAGATAAACAGAAAGCGACTTAGAAAGATTCATAAATATTATTTACATATAGAGATATTCTTTGAATTTTATTTACAGTTACATCATTAAATTTAAAAATATATACACACATATACACGCATACACCTATATATTGTTTACAATCACAAGATATGTCCAATATTTCCTTGAGATCGTTACATCAAAGACCATTTTTCTTAATGGAATCCAAAATATATTTACAAAGGAAATTAAATTATATATATGTGTTCCTACTTGAAATAAATCACTAGGGCCTAAAGCTATTAAACCGTTGTTGACTCTGTAATCTTGAAAGACAGGGCACTCTAGCAAGAGATGTATTGAAGTTTGTTCCCCCAATCCACAGAAACATGTTGAATCTTGCACAGCCTGAATTTTCTTAAACTTCTTAGAAATATGTTTAAAAAGGCATGTTTATAAATATAAAAAGGTTTTTGAAAATAGAGCGATCCATAAATAAATCTTTAATTAAAAAGGCATATATTGGATCAAAATATGATTTATTCTATCAATATTTCAGTTGGCTGAACGCCAACCTTTATCAAGGTATTATAACATATTTAATATGTCAACAACATACTGTGGTGCTGAGTTTGTTGTTGACACACATTAATATGTTATAATACCTTGATAAAGGTTGGCGTTCAGCCAACTGAAATACTGGTAAAATAAATGATATTTTGATTCAATATATGCCTTTTTAATTAAAGGATATTCAAATATTTATATGCAATAATGAATATTATTTTCTGGTTTTATATTTTGATTTAATAAATGAGGAATCTAGGGTTTGGTTTATTTTCTCATATCTCTAACTTTCAGGATATCATGCCCTTCAACAAAGAGATACTGAAGTACAACTTCTAGTCAATTATAACACGCCGAATTTTGTTTGGTTAAACTAATACAGTATTAAAAAACAGTTCGGGGGGTCGGTGGTGGAAGGCTGGTTAAACCGTTTGATTTTCGACCACTACGACCCGGGTTCGATTCCCGCATTGGACACTTTTTTCTGTTTGAAAAAAAAATGCTCCAATGGCCCCCGATTCTTGCAAAAGTCCAACCCCACCAGCAAGTGCAAGTAACCAAACGAGGCTATGGCACATTTGTAAGTGCAAAGTCGAACTGCTTTTTATATGTGTAGACATGTGGTGCGCTTACAGTAAAATGCAGTCGCTAACTACCCACCATTATTATCATGGCCTGTACCACGTGTACTAGGGATAAGCAAAAAAAAACAGTTCCCTTTGAAAATTAAACGATTTATAGCCCGTCAAAGGATTCTATGGCTATTTTTACGCGAGGATATCACGGGATTTTGGAACAGCGACCCTTTAAATTACTACTTCTGCAATTCTGTCATCCAAGACAATTTGGTCCATTATCTATTCCATTGCCCATTCCTACAGGAAAAGAGACTGGAAATTCACGAAATTTCGGTGCTAACTCACTATAATGAACAACATGTATATACAATTTTTACTGCTCTCCTGCTGGATAAAACATTTGTTTATAAATATTTAAAATTTTTCAAGGTGATTGATAAAATGGGAGAAGTGCTCAACTCCACAGACAACGGCTGATCGCTCCTCTTCCCCTCTAAATTGCTTTTCCTCCTCTCTCATGTACATATATAACCTTTAAGGGGAATCCCCTTTTAAGACAATAGTGTCTTAATAAAGGTTTTGTTTTTGTTGTATAATACTTGAATTATTTGTAAGTAGAACGATGTTTGACAATTATACCGCAAATGTTTCTTTTGAACGAAAAATAGAAATTTATTTTAAGGAGAAATAACGATTATTTCTTTCCTTAGGGATGAAGTATGAAAGGTAATGTTAAACGGAAAATTAATTTACTCATGTACATATATAACCTTTATGGGGAATTCCCTTGTAAGACATTAGTGTCTTAATAAAGGTTTTTGTTGTTGTATTAAAAACAGTAAATGTTTCCCAGATGGAGATTATAAATAATTCAGAGGAAAACATGCCATGAATATTGATAGAAACAACATAGAAATTCAAGGCACAATCTCTTAGATGCATTCAAATATACAATCTTCTTCTCTACTTCCTACAACTACCGGTTTCCAACTTCAATTTATTTGACACAAAAATAAAACGATATTTTCAGGAAACAAAAAAACAATGGGCTCTCGAAAACTAAAGTAAATTTAAGAAAATTACTCCGAAAAATATTTTAGGTTGAATATTCACATTATTTTCTCACATTTTTATATTTTTTCAAATATATATATTTATTTTTATTATAGTTAATTAAAATATATATTTATATAGAATTTATTTTTGTAAATTAATATGTAAAAATATATCTATTAGAATAGAAAATTGCTATAAAATATAAAATTAGACTATAAATAGTTGAAAATAAGAATTAAAGAAATTAATTACTACTTATTATATTCTTATTCCAAAATATATCTGTGATTTTTTAAAAATATGTTTTGACCATTGACTATGGAATTATGTTATTCGCCTAGCAGCCATGAAACAGACTTTGGGTGTGTGAATAAAAGTTGAACAAAATTGCGTCTATCTCCTTCAAAAAAAAAACAGACGATTTGCGACATGAGTGTATATATTAAGGAGTTAAGGCAATTTATATATATATACAGTAGAACCTCCCTGTTAAGGACAACACCTAATTATAGAGCCAAAATTTCCTTTAGGGAGAAATGTCCTCTTATCAGAGAGTTGATACTGTAAACCTATCTCTCTGTGAAGGACAACACCTGGTTACTGAGCCAAAGTGTACTTTAGGGAGAGGTGTCCTCTTACCGGAGAGTTGCTACAGTAGAACTACCTCTCTGTAAAGGACAACACCTAGTTACAGAGCCTAAGTGTCCTTTAGGGAGAGGTGCCTCTTACCAGAGAGTTGCTCAATTGTAAAAATGGTAATTTTACAAATGAAAACTGTTCTTTGTGGAGAGGTGTCCTCTAGCTGGGTGTCCGCTAAAGGGAGGTTCTACTGTATATATAAAGATATATATGTAAATATAAAAGTATTTAACAAAGAAGTTTATTTACTTTGAGATTTTTAAAAAATTCAAAATTAAAAAGTGTAAACAGAAGATATAGAATATGTGAAGAAATTTCTCTCTCATTTTTATATGAAAATATTTTAAATAATTACTTAAATAATAGGAAATAGTTAATCTGAAAAATTGAAAATAAGAATTTTTCTTCTATTCATTTTGTTCACTCTTTATAATTTTTCATTTATACCTGTGAATATTTGTAAAGTTTGAAACAATTAATTTTTGCCAATGTCTTTCATATATCTCTACATACCTTACTAATATTTTCAATTACTTCTGTAGAAACATCATATATACACTGCGTGACATTGAAAATGGAACACCAAGAAATAGTGGCCAGAAAATTATGCAAATTTCAGGGTAGACGCGCCTAACCGAGTTATGCAAATGATGTAAAATGCGCAGCTCTCGTGCGCACATGGAGTAAGATATAAGGGAAGGAACTTGCAGAAAGGACAGTATTCGTGTCGTTATTTCTTCAAGGAAAATCATTGTAGAAATTTTGTTCTTGTGTCAAAAGACACGTGTAATAACAGAGAATGCCAGGTCATCGTAAACGGAGGCAGTTCAAACAGACAGACGCTTTTACGAGGGGCATGGTGATCGGACTGAAAAGGGCAGGTTGGTCCATACGTCAAATCGCAGCTGATACACACCTTGGTGCGTCCACGGTGCACCGACTGTGGAGAAGATGGTTGGAACAAGGAAATGTGGCAATTTATAGGAATGTCGGTGCAACCAGAGTGACGTCAGCACGTGTGGATCGGCGTATCCTTCAACAAGCAGTGGCGGCCCCACAAGCCACTTGTACCGCCATCCTGCAACATGTGCAAGACACCCTAGATCATTCCACCTCGACCAGAACCATTTCCCGTCGATTGGTTGCTAATGGCTTGCACTCATGCCGTCCGCTAAGAAGACTGCCATTGACCCCACCGAATAGGCGCCAACGTTTGGAATGGTGCCGGGCTAGATCGACGTGGATGACGGAATGGCACAGGGTCGTGTTCTCAGATGAGTCGCGTTTCTGCTTGTCCAGTGATAGTCGCCGTGTACGCGTGTGGCGTCGACGTGGAGAAAGGTCCAATCCGGCAGCAATTGTGGGACGCCCCACCGTGAGACAACGTGGAATCATGGTTTGGGGCGCAATCGCGTATGATTCCAGGTCACCTTTACTTCGTATTCAGGGCACTATGACGGCCCAACGATACGTTGATGATGTGCTGCGACCGGTGACACTCCCCTATCTTCAGGGGGTACCCAATGCCTTTATCAGCAGGATAACGCCCGACCGCACACTGCTCGCATTAGCCAACAAGCTCTGCAAGATGTACAGATGCTTCCCTGGCCACCGTACTCTCCTGATCTCTCACCAATCGAGAACGTCTGGGTCATCATTGGACGCCGTTTGCATGCCTTGCCACAGCCGCGTTCAGAAGATGAACTGTGGCAAATGGTTGAGAGGGAATGGAGAGCCATCCCTCAGGACGCCATCCGTACTCTGATCGACTCTCTACCTAGACGTGTTGCTGCGTGTATCGCCGTCCGCGGTGGTCCTACTTGCTACTAAGCCGACGCCGTTCTCGCTCTGTATTATGACTATTATTTTGAAATAAAGATCACTTATTGTTCGTCCCTGTCTCTCTCTGTCTGCCGAGTTTCATCACTTTCTGGCCACTATTTCTTGGTGTTGCATTTTCAATGTCACGCAGTGTATATTGTACATAAAATAATCGCTCGTTGAAGAGAATAAATTTTTCTCGAAAGATTGTTAAACCTTAATTAAAAGAAATATTTTACCTGAAATCTATTTTTCCTTTTCAAATACACCTATCCCCCGATTTACACGGTAGATACGTTCCTGAGAAAAACGTGTAAATCTGGGGATAGGCGTACACAGAAATAAAAATAAAATGCATTGACAGGTTAAAATATGTAGTCAGCACATAAGCTCGGGATTCCTCGTGAGATGTATACACAGCGCATGTGTTCAATCACAGTAGCATTTAGTATAGTGCGATAAAAACGGAAAAAAACTTATTTGGAAAACCGTGTAGAAGCGAAAACGTGTAAAACAAGTACCGTGTAAATCGGGGGATAGGTGTAATTTATAGGTATCAATTAGATTAATCAAATATAAATCTCCTAGAATAAGTTTCTTAATTACAATTTTAACGGGTTTACAAGTTTTCTTAATATTTTTACTTGTAAAGCGGTCGTTTAAAATCAGAAAACTTGTAAACTTGTTAAAAGTGTAATAAAGAAATTTATCCTCGGAGATTTATATTTAATTAATCTAATTTATATAGAA